AAGTCCACTCAACAAATATTGACTACATCAAGTTCTATGACAAAGCTCAGAGACAGACACTGATATGGGCCTTGCCCTTGAAAAGTTCAGTCCAGTCAGAAAGAACGAGAAATAACTCCACTTGTCTTGTCCCCTATCATTTCCCACCTTATTTTTCTTTTTCTTTCAAGGGCTCCAGTTTTAAAACTGTGTAGTGTACCAACTAACCACAGTCACTCTTTTAAGTTTCAAGTCCTCTCAACTTATGAATCCCTACTTTGAACTTAATCTACATGCAATGAGATTTCTTAAAAGCAAATTATTTGAAGCCCTGATGCTTAAGAATCAGAGGTCCTCTTAGGTTAAAAGCATATTTAATTCCTTTTAACTTGATCATCTCTAACATTTCCATTAAATATGGGTGTCATTCTTGTGCATCATCACCTCACCAATGCACGGTTTAAAACAATGGGTATAAAAGGAGCCCTGTGTCTGACTTTCTGGTCCACAAGAGGTCCAGTGATGATGATAAACAGCATATTCGTCAGTAGAACAAGAATCAGAGGGGGTTTATATCAATCAGAAGACTAGTTCAGCTTCTGAAATACTGACAGGATAGCAATTCCTAGTGATGAGATCTTAGAAGAGCTGAAGTAGAGAGCTGATGTTAGTTGCTGAGGTTGAGGTGAAAGCAATGAGGCCCTTAGTGCTCTCCCTCCAGGGAGCACACATGTACTATTCCCTTGCCCCTCTCCTTCCCCCTCAGGCGTGCATCTCCTAACCTCTGAGGGACCCCAGAAGACTTGCAACTAGGGGAGCAATGGGCAGTGGCAGCCAGGCTAACCCCCTGAACCTGTCTCCACCGCCCCTTTTCCTCTGACTTCTCAGTGAGCCAAAGCAGCCCAGCCTGGGCTCTCCTGTTGCTTCTTCTATGCCCTTCCTTGTTTCACTGTCCTAAGTATATTTTTGCTTTGGCCAATAAATTCTTGCTTGCTTTTCTAAAAAAGATAAAAATTAAAAAATAATGAGGCCCTTGCCCTGGCTGGTGAGGCTCTGTTGGTTGGAGCGTTGTCCAGGACACTGAAAGGTCTCAGATTTGATTCCCAGTCAGGGCACATGCCTAGGTTGCAGGGTTCAATCTCTAGTATGCTGCGTACGGGAGACAACCAATCGATATTTCTCTCTCTCCCTCCCTTCCTTTCTCTCTCTCTCTAGAATCAATAGAAACATGTTCTCAGGTAAGGATTTTTAAAAATCTATTAAAGCTAAAAATTTTAAAGAATAATCAGGCCTAGAATTTTAATTGGCCAATATAAAAATCAATGAAGATGAAGTCTTTAACAAGGGCTCCGTTCTCTTCATAACATCTTTGCTTGTGGCTAAGTTCAAGAAAGGGTTATATAATTAGGTGATTTGATGTCATAAGAGAAGAGTTTATTTACTGACAGTGATATTTAAGAACTCTCAGTTTAGAAGACTGAAATTCCTATCCATGCAAGGTTAATTCCTAGATGTATGCCCTTGAACTAACAAGTTACTTAACTTCTCTAGACATTTGTATCAACAAGAGTAACTCATTCAGAAGGTTATTGTAACTACTTGAGATAATACATGTAAAGCATTAAACAGTGCTTGGCACATGATAGTGAATAAGATTTGCTACTTTTGCTATCAATGGTCAAGAAGTAGCACAAGGGTACAAGTCATATGCCAAATGCCTAAGGAAACACAGATTTTAGTTAACGTGATGCATCAGAAGGTGTTCTTGTACAGTACAGAAGAATATGTTCCTGCCTGGCTGGTGTGGCTCCTGCATCGACCCAGGAACCAGGAGGTTACCTGTTCCGTTCCTTGCCAGGACACATGCCTGGGTTGCAGCTCAATCCCCAGTGGGGATCGTACAGGAGGTGGCCAATCAATGATGTTTCTCTCTCATCAATGTCTCTTTCTCTCTCTATCCCTCTCTTTCCTCTCTCTCTAAAAATCAAAAAAACATATTTTAAAAAAAGAATATGCTCCCAAAGGAACAGATATTCAAAGTAGTATAACAAAATTATTACCCTAAAAATTTTCAAACTTAAATAATGCATCTTCCTTTAAGTAAGTCACACACATTAATGTGTAGAAATAGTAGTACAGTTAGAAAACATAGCTAAAATCAAGCTGGTAAAAGTCAGTCTACACAATACAAAGGTGATACTGATGGGTAAAGAAGCTAGTTGGAGCCCTAGCTGGTGTAGCTAAGTAGTTAGAGCGTCAGGCCTCGAACCGAAGGGTCGCTGGTTTGATTCCCGTTCAAGTGCGCATACCTGGGTTACAAGTTCATTCCCCTGGCTGGTTGGGGGCACATTCCGGAGCAACCAATTGATGTGTCTCTCTCCTCCGCTCCCTCCCTCCAAAAAAAAAAAGTTACTAAGGATGGAGACTTACTTTATAAAGGCTTTCATTTTTTGAGTCAAGTTATTTCATTATTTTAAATTTTTATTTATTGCTATTGGTGGTGGGGGGGAGAAACTATAGAGGGCCTGTGTGTGCACATTTTTAAAAATCTGTATAAAACTAAATTTACTTACCTTCTAAGGTAAAATACAAAATTTACTTTTATTAAATGGTGATTGAATAGTAATATATGTAGTTTAATATTATTTTTTATTTCCTTTTTGATACTTTAAATATTAAGAGGTACTATTAACTGGCAACTTTCAGGTCTCATTTTTTTAAAGTAGTAAATAATTATATGGATCGTTATAGTACCACCATCCATATGATATAAACATCTTAAACATACAATGGAGACAAATAACGCACAGAATTCAGAACACTAAATGTGTTACTATTTGGACATGGTTCTTTTCTTAATGTCTCTAGGCTCCAAAGTTGCAGGTAGATTTTTTTTTAAGACTCCAATTTAAAAAACTTAATAGTTTTGTACTAAACTATTAACAGAAACATTTAAAACAATTACTGAGGTGTTTTTAAACAATCATCACACAAAGAACTACTTAAAATTTATCATAAATCTATATTCATAGAGCATCTCTGGGTCAAAGGACCCAAGGAACAAGATCACGTGCTGAAGTAGTCTAACCAGCATTATGGAACAGCATTCCAGTTTACGGTTATTATAGCCTTGGGGCCCAGGCTCTTCTATCACGAATTGTAATAACTTTAAAACCCCAAAAGGTGCATCAAGAGTTCATTAAAACGTCGTTTGAACACATTATGAAACCACAAAACAAATCAAAACAGAAAGAACTGCACCTTCATGTGAAAATTGGTACGACATTTGCTACTGTGGAAAAGTGACCAATCCATTTTTTTTTTAAAGTTTCTCTAAAGTAAGTTTTTAAAAAAGGGGGGCCTTTTTTTTTTTTTTTTTTTTTGTAGCTCAGAACAGTAGCTCAAATAGCGGTTACAATAAAGTTTGGCAGGTTCAGTGAGTTTGTATCTTGTTACTGTGATTCTGTATCAGACATCTGTTCTCTTGCATCACATGGAGGAAGCCTGCCCTTCTCAAGTCAGGGAAATTCACTCTTCTGCTTAGCTTTTACTGAGAGGGAGGAAGGGGAGCTATGAAGACCTCAAGTCCCAAACTGCTGTATTTCAAATCGAAGATTAAAAAAAAAAAAATACAAAGGCTTTTTGAGAATCCCGAGTATGAGCTTGCAGTTACAACTCTCACACTTTTACAGGAAAACAATGGCAGTGTCCTCACAATTTTTCAATTAAAGAGAAACCCTGGTGTGCCAGGAAATGCAGGAATGAGGAAGAACCAAGGACTAACGGTCTATCCTGCTGGATAGATGCCCTAATTCACTTGCCCAAGGAGCCTCAGGTTCACCTGGAAAATGAAAATGATTTTATCTCTGTGGGTCTAAAACCTGTCTCTCTCCAAGTCCATGCTTAGCTTCCCTAACTTGTAATGTACTGGGGAGAGGGAGGGAGGATAGGCCCTCGATTTTGAGGACGTGTCAAGTGTTTGGGTTAATAATTTGACAGAAGTGCCATCTCCGGGGAGCACAGTTCCAAAGAAGGGGCGGTGGGGAAGCCCGCCTCGCGGGTCAAGGGTGCGTTACAACTTTGCTTGAACGACTTCCCAACTGGTTGGCATTCACACCACTTGTGTAAAACCATCTTGTCCGATTAAGGTGGTTATTAAACAAAAACCAGGCCCCGCTGCCCAAGGGGGCGCGCCCACCCTGGGGGTGCACCCCAGGGGAGCTAAACGTCAGCCGGCGCTGCAAGGCCGGGGGTCGCAGGGGTGAGTGCGAGGTCGCCCCGGTGGCTGGGCGGACTGGTCCTCGAGCCCTAACTTACTCCAAAGGAGCGCGCCCCGGACCCAAATATCATTCCCTTTCCCCCCAGGTCCTCCCACCCCTACCTACGTCCCGACAAGGGCGCTGAACGCCATTCACCTGGATTCGGGGCAAGGGTACTAGGGGGAAGGAAACACAGCGGCGCCAGACACCAGGCCCTGGGACCAGCCAAAATGTGGGGTGGTGAGCCCCGACCCAACCGCAGCGCCTCCCGTGAAAAAAACCTCTTGGGCCGTCGGGTCGCGAGAAGTGGGCGGCCGGAGGAGGGACGGGGAAGGAGGCACGAGGTCCTTACCCGCTGCAAGGCTGGCCGCTGCCCCCCG